AAGAGCCGTACGCTCAATTTGGGAGTAACAGTAAGTAGGTGCTAGGAGCAATGGATATTTTCTGCCATGTTTTGTTAGATTGCTTTAGTGTTTGAATGATACAGAATTATAGGTGCTGATGGAAGCTAGAAGGACGAGCAGGCGGAAAAGCGGTTGAGCTGCATACTATTTCCAAGCAGAAGAATCTGAAGCACCAAAAACTTTTTGGGTGAGTAATGCGAGCAATGATTCCAGTGTTTGAAAGTTTATTTGCATGATGAACAAAACTTCTCACCATCTTTCGACTGAGAACAAACGTTGATGTCAAATAAGTTTTTAACTGATCCAATGAATGATTGGAATTATTTCTTTAAAATCTTAATATCAATGTAACTAATGGAAAACCTTTTTTTTTTGCAGCTTGCCGTAAAGTGCTGAAAGGGTCAACAAAGGACGGACGAAAAATGCTAACAATTTTAAATAGAAAATTTAAATTAATATGTTTAAATTTATTAAAACAATCACTTTTATTAACAGGCAGAGATGATCATTCTTTGTAACCAAGACTCGAATTAAATTTACTATGTGCAGACGATGTTTGTTTTCTATTTCCCAACTATTTCGCTCTTTCCATTATCATCTTCGTCTAAATAATCCTCGGCCTCGAGTAATCGCCGCTGCGCCGGTGAGAGCATACCTTCAGCTGCCGCATCTCGAGCCGCTTGCTCAGCATCTTCATCAATCCAATCTGACGCGCGATCATGCCGCTTTCGTTCAGGTGTATTCTTTGGTTCGCGTCTTTTAGCCAAAAATTTTTCAAAGCGTTCTGCCTTCTCCGCTGCTTCAGCGAGCTTTTGTTGTACACGTTCAAGCTTTCCGCCGCGCTCAGTCATTTCATTACCAGTCGTTCCAACCTTCTGGGCATGTTCGTCCCAAGCCTGCTGAGATTTACGCATTTTCGTCAACAGCTTAGACATAATATGGCGATGATCTAAGCCAAGCACATCGTGTCGCATTTCTGGAAAGTGCTCCTCTCCTGCTTCACTTTCAGCAGCTGTGTGCGCACTGGCATCTTGCAATGCGTTTTTGCCATAAAACTCCCGCTGCATCAAATTTGCAATTGCATTTTCTCGTTCACGCTCAACTCCCTCAACAGCATCAGTTATCTCTTCCGTGGCACCGAAATCGATGGAGCGTAATATATCTTCTACTTGGTTGATATTTGACAATCTTTTCTCGCGAGTAAACTGAACGCGTGGAACTTCACTCATAAGCATCAATTGCGAAAGTTCATGACGCAAGACACCGCTGCAGCGTTGCAATTCAGTTTCGAGTAGTGCATCGGATAGTGGCTCGCCCCTACCCAACCAATAAACGTTGATGGTTGCGAAATCTGGTGCGATTTTTACGCGCGTCACTTGCAAACCGCGTCCTAGAATAGCTTCAGAGGCTTCACCAGTTGCCAACAGATCAGTTATGTGTTTCATAAATAATTTATTTAGCACAACCATACGACGTGTAGTAGTTTTGCCACCGGCCGTTGATTTGTTGATATGAGCGTTATTGAACATCTCTGCGTTGCGCTGCCTGCTAGAGTTCGATGTATTGCTCTCATTGCTGGGATACCACCGTTTCTTGCTACCCGATACGCGATGGCCGATTAGCTTGCTCATTACCTTGCTCTGGAAAGTGATACTATCGGCCTTTGCAAAAGCTGCGGCACCTCCGCAAGTTGTCGAAATTGGGGCACATCCTCTTGAGCACCGTTCAATGTGGAGAAGTTGTTGATTGCAGCGATGCACATTTCGTAACATTGCTGAAGCAGCACAGCACAATTTGGAAGCAAAAATTAGTAATAACCGTATAATATATAAAATTTTTGCGTTCTTAGCAAATACACAAAGAGATTGCACTGAGCAGCTGTTTTCTGTTTATATTTGTCGTTTCTGACGTAAGCGTGTTTACGTCAATGAGGCCGCATTTACACGGATGCACTTCGTCTACGTCTGTGTTTGATATGCAGTGTTGCCAGAAATACCATATGTGAAATGCGCCTTGGCTTACGTGACGTTGAGTTGAGTTCCAGTGTTGCCAGAAAAATTTCTGTTAAAAATCTTCCAAGTGATGGTAGAATCTTCAAACAACCATAAAAAAGTTACTAAATCTGGAAAAAATCTTTTTTCTGTAGAAAGCATTGCATTGAAGCATTTTCAGCAGGAGCAGGGTTGCATTGAAAGATTCTTAAATAACACTCCTAGGATCGTTACGTAGCGTAAATGAAGTTGTTAATAAATTAATAAGCGTAACTAAAAAACATGCAATCAACTATTACATTTATATAATTGACATGGAATATGCACACAATTTTAAAAATAAAAAAAAATATTTTCATAATTCTAGTTTAGTTTTAATTCACTTCTATTAATGTACGCACAATTTCTGAGATACATACCAACACATAAACTGCTTCGACCCAGTTCGCTGTGATTCAAAACGGAAGCATAAACCAACTTTCAATACGCTCACAAATCCAAAAGTGTATTGACTCAAATTTGTTTTCAAATCGGTTTTTTATTTCTGTCATGGTTAGAAAACAGGTATAAACACATCACTCATTAAACGCGAAGTGAAAAAAGGCTGGTTATGTTTACACATCCCGTTTTAAATTAGAATTATTATTATAACCAAGTTGAATTCTTGTTCGCTTCCATTTCGGTCTACCACGCAATTTAATTATTTGAGAAATATCGAATAAAAAAAAAGTTGTTTACTTTTGAATACGGTTCTGCGAGTAGGCTATAACGACACAGGTATAAATGCTTACAAGAAATCTGACTTGAGTCAATTTAGCTTTTTGTTAATTCGGTTCTTGCGTAGGTATAAACAAAGTATGAAATTCTATCGTTTTATACTTTTGAAAAATTGGCATTTCTATTTGTTGTGCAATTCTGAAAGTAATAAGAAATTATTAATTTTCAAATATTGCAGTTGATTTTATTTTACATTCCTTTTACACTCTGCACAATATTTTTAAATAATAAAATATATTATAATTCTAAATTTTTTACAATACTTTCTTCATTGCCATTGAAATTATGCATAGTATGTACAAATTTTCTCGAAAATTCTTTGATCGCATCAATTTTTGAAATAATTTTCTTTGGCGATCGCTTCCCAATAGGAAATTTTTATGATTTTTATTGTTTATTAACTTTATTTGTTATACCATTATGTATTGAATAAACGTTTGTTTATTTAATTAGGTATATTGACGGTTTTAGGTCCAAGCTTTGCAATCGTTTCTGCTTTTTTCAAGCTTTCAGCCCTTTTTTCAGCCGTAAGCTTTATAAACTGAACAGAGCGCTGAGCGTATAAAAAGCTTGATGCAGAGTTTATTTCGCCAATTCCCAAAGGCCAATTTTGCACCAAATAAAAAATAATGCGCATTTAAGAAAAAAAAATGTTTTTATATGTCACCCTTATTACGAGTGTCGACTAGTAGTAGATAAACGACTGTTAGTTGATTATCGATTATCCGTGGTATTTTCAAAGTCGTTTTCTCGTTCAATAAGTGCGTGGGAATGGTTTATAGTCGCTCATCCTTCTACAAACAAATAGTTGTAGAAAAATGAGCGATAAAAAAACTATTCACAGTCACTTATTGAAAGAGAAATCGTAGTGCTCAATACCATGGAAAAGCGATACTCGAATAAGAGTCGTTTATCTACTATTAGTCGACACCCGCGATAGGGGTGTGTATTGAATTTATATTTTATCCTGATTATTTATTTCCTTTATTTTTATTTTTATTTTTATTTACACATTTTGTTTCAAAATTTTTCTGATTATGTGCTTTTACATTTTTAGTAAATTTTTATTTTATGGAAACTCATTGAAGCACTTAATTTCCCATTTAAGTTTTTCAATCAAATAAATGTAAGCGCGAATCACTATAATTTGTGGCCTTTTACTTATTTATTTTAATTATTTTTTTTTGTTTTTAACTATTTTTAAGTCGATAATTTTTCTTTCGATTATGTCTACATTTTCATACCTTTGAAATTGTAAAAACAAATTTCTGTTTATAAACACTAAATGCATATGTATATATG